TTCTGCTCTGCCCATTTAATTTGACTTATTGGGAATAAAAGTTTGAAAGGTGATGTGAACTACCAAGAGGGACTGAAGGCATCCCACTAGAACATAAGCCCATGGGGGTAGAAATTTTTTTCAGTTCTGCTCATTACTATAGTCTAAGCCCCTAGAAGACGGTTCCAGGTGCATAGTACATGCTTAATAAATACTTGTTGGTTTATGTAAAACTGAAACAGTAAATGAATGACATAAGGCAATTTTGTGTCCAAGATGGCAACTGAATTTCCAGATAAGTAGCCAGGCTTTTGAAAAATGAAAGTTAAATTTGCATCCATATTCTCCAGCTGACCATCATTACAATAAAACCTGCAAAGGAATGGTAGTGGACATTTGTCATAGTCATGAACATCCACCATCCTTCAAACAGCCTTTCTGTATTAAAGGACATTCCCATGATATGACTCTTGCCTCTCTAACATAAGACAAAACCAAAAATTTCCAAGACCCTTTGCAGCCAGGACAAAGACTAGTGATGTAGGCACCTGCTCAAGACTGATTCCAAAGTGAGCCAAAGTGATTGGAGATGCCATTTTATCAGACCTAGCCCTCTTTCTATGATATTAGTTGCAAATATTCTCACTTGTAATTTGTCTTTATTTTTTACATGCAAACTTTTTTTAATGTCTTATGTAATACAATGTATTCATCCTGTACAGACATCTGAGTTGTATTTCATATTTAGGAACGTCTATCTCCCCTTGAAATTATAAAAAGAGAAAATTCACCCATAATTTTTTCTAGAACTTTTGTACTTTGATTTTTGTGTGTGTGTGTTTAAGTCTTTAAATTGTGTGGAATTTATTTTGGTGTAAAGAATGAGGTAGGGGTCCAATTATTTTTTTTCCAGTTGGCTATACAGTTATCCTCAGTCATTTGAATACAATATTCTGGATTAGTTATTTATCCTAAATTACTTAATCCTTTTATTCAACTCACAGTGTTAAACTGTGTGCTCAATTATCAAGAAAGAAAAGTGGGAAAGAAAATAAAAGGAGGATAATCAGGAGAACTCAAAGTTTAGAGGTTAGGATTTTATAAGATTCCTGTTACTGTCAGTGACAACCTCCTTCTTCATTACCAGAAAAGACAACTTGGTGTCTGAAGGTGATAACACTTTCAACAATTATCTTAAGAAAAACCATGCTTACAATTAGCACACATAATGTAGGGGGTGAACATGGGAAAGGCAATATATACAGAGAAGATAAGTAATGATTCTATAGCATCTTACTATGCTGATGGACAGTGACTGTAATAGGGTATGTGGGGGAGAACTTGATAATGGGGGGAGTCTAGTAACCATAATGTTGTTCAAGTAATTGTACATTAATGATATCAAAACTAAAAAATTTTTTTAAAAAAGAAAAACCATGCTTTCCCTATTCTGGTCATATACCAGCTAGTATATACAAGTACTTGGGGTTTTACTGTATGGAAGTTTTACACTGTTGAAGTAAAGAAGCACTTATTGCATGTACTTTAATATGGTAAGGATTCTCTTGTTCTTTGTTTTTTATCTTACTATCTAATTTGGAAATAATTAATCCTCAATCTATGGTTGTAGCTTGTACATTTCTCTAAATATGTAAGCTGACATATCATTCCATTAGGAGCACATGTGTGTTTGGAGCTGCCTATCTTGAAGAGACACTCAATACTGGAATACAACAGAAAGGAAGAGATTGGCCTTAAATACACGAACAAAGTCAGATCTGAGATTTTCATGGGAGGTAGAAAATTATTTCTTGGCTTCCTCATCTCCGCTTGTAATCTTACCTCTCTTACTTCTGAGAATAAGCAAATAGATATCACTTAGAATTTTGGTCCCTGGACCAGTAGCATCAGTTTCTGGAAACTGATTAAAAATGTAAATTCATGGGCTCCATTCTAGACCTACTCTGTGAGTGGAGTTCCATCTCAGCAACTCTCGGGCAGGGGCTAGCAATCGATTTTTTTAACAAGTCTTCCCCATGATTCTGTTACAGTATACTAAACAGAAAGTGCCTTAGAATGGTGGCCCTGTTAAGTCCTTAATACCTCAGGATAATGAAGATGAACACTCAGTGGGCTGTCAGAGTATATTTACCTTGAATAGATAAGGACCATTGAAGAAATGTACTTAACAAGGTAGAGTAATGCTGAAAGGAATAAATGCATAGAAATTAACCATCTTTAAATGGTTGCTAAAAGCAAAACGTATTGCTTGTGAAATGTCCAGAAACAAGACACTAGGTGACTCCAAGTTCAGCTCTCACCACATGTCAGATCTTATAAATCACTTATTATGGATCATTGCTATCTTAAGCAAATTCAGTCTCTAATAGTCAATTTATTGTTCACTTTAATATTTATGAAAAATCAGAAGAATATATGGTCAATATTCTCAAGTTCTTAGGTGCATATGGCCAGTTTCTCTCAACTAGAATGTCTTCAGGGGTAAAGGCTGCATTTTTCTTTTTTTATTAATAACCATATCTTCTTACTAACATCAACAATCCCTTAGTAAATGGTTATTAATTAAATGAGAAATTATATTTTCAGTGAAAATTTCCTTGAGTTCCTTCCCCTGGGTGATGTGATAAAATGAATTGATTGACTTGGATTGGATGATTTAGATTATACTTAATTATCCACACTTTCATTTGAGAGGTGTTAAGGAACAATTGTTCTCATATAGTGCAGAAATGTTTTATTTTGGGACCATCTGTTGAAATTCTAATTTCACTGCACCAGCATTTTTATGCAATTACACATTAAGTTTTGGTGATTGGCATATTCTTCTCTAAATCCAAAATATCTTACTATAATTTTTCTTGTTTCATTTGCATTATTAGGTACACATTTTTTAAATTATTTCTAATCTTTAAAAATATCACCTTAAGCTTTTACATTACATTCTGTAATATGATGCCATTGAATGACTATTGACATCCTTTGGAATTAAGAATAAAACCTGAGAAAAATACTAGATGGGACTAGCTCATTATTTCCCAGGTCTTTGGCTAACCTCTTGCACTCTATTTCTAATGGTCTGATGATGTTCCACCTTGATGTTACTCAATTTTATATAAAATATGCTTGATGGGATTAAAATTGGCAAAGATATAAATATTCTTTGCTTTCTAAATCTCTCAGGTTGCATTTAATCTTTAGATATGACTTGAGCTAGGATTAAGGAACATGAAAATAAAGTATTAATAATCACCTAGAATATATTTCCATTTTCTTCAGTAACATTTTACTTGAAAAGCAATTTATATATCTCTCTTCTAACCCAATAATGCAGTTTTCTCAGAAATGAAGCTTCATTACATTCATTTGTTGAATCAATAGTGCTCTGATTTGTTTTCTGATGAGCTCTGTAAGAACAGAAGCACTAATCTATAAGAAAAAAACTCTCTAACTTAGCTTTCCCAAAGTGCTCCATATTGACTTGTGTGACTGTCAGTCACACTTGAATGGAGCTCACAATGCTAATGAGATCGACATCACAGGCTTATCCCCAAAGGACCCGTTAACTTCTCTCAGAGAAGCAAGGGTCTCTTTACTACAGATCAGTCAGTCTTCTATTCCTGACCATCTCAAAAAGTATTGGTCCCAGAAGAACAGAGCACAAGAATGCAACTGGGCCATCAATAACATCATTTGCGTGATGTTTTTTGCTCCATCTATAGAACTGAACTGATTTACAGGTAGGTACACATAGAGAATTTAAAGAAAAGAACTATTTGAAACATTAGAATGATTGAATAATAGGTAAGAAAGTGCGGGTGGGAAGAGGACATACGCTCAAGTGGGAACCAATTCTCTGCATTTGTATTACAAACTTAAAATTGAGATCATACTCTAAACACAATTTTAAAACCTAATTATTTTATGGAAAAATTTCAAACACATACAAAAGTAGAAGGAATAGTATAATCAATGCGTTCGAACCTACCAACCAGCTTCAACATTAATTTAAGCATCCCCATCTCCAGATTAATTGGAAGCAAACATCAAACCATTTCTTCTACAAATAGTTTAGCACTTACATCTAAAAGATAAGATGCTTCTAAAAAAAATATAATGGTAATAACATTATCACATCTACAGTATTTATAAAATGCTTTAATATCAATTATTCAGAAAGTAATTGAATGTAGAGGGATACTGTGAATAATGCTATGATGAACATAGGAACACAGATACAGCTTCAAGATAGTGATTTCAAATCAGATTTCCCAGAATTTTCTCACAAAAATTTTTTAGGCATTAAGTCTGTTGATCTATGACTCCCCACTCCTTCTCTTTGAATCAGTGTTTTAAAGCTAAACTCTGTTCTTTGTCCTGTGGGATTTTCCATGGTCTGGATTTTCTGATCATAGCTCTCCTGGTGGTGTTAAATATGCTCCTCTATCACCTGTATTTTCTGTAAATTATTATTTGGATATATATAGGCTTGATCAAATTTTAGTTTTATTTTTGGCAAGAATATTTCATGTATGATGTTTTATACAGGAGGCAAGTAATGTCTTCTTGTCTGTCATTTTGTGAAGTTAGCCATCATTGATAATCATTTTGTAGTGGCATTATTTCATTAGGGATTACAATATGATGATATTCTATCATTTCTGCATTGATTATTAGCTGGAACTCTGAAAAGAGAAACTTCCTCTCATTAACGATTAGATTATCCTGAGGTACAATTTCTATTTGAGAAGGTAGCTGCTACCTGCCTGTTTCACTCTCTTTATGAGTTTTCAAAATAATGAGTTGGTTTCTTTGAATTTTCCAAGGATAGTAATACAGGTTTTGTTTTAGAGTATCAATTTCAGCTAATACGCTTCATTTAATACGCTTCAATCTATTATCATTATCCTAAATCATAATCAAATTGTCTCCTGTTGGACCAATGGTAGCACCTTCAAGTTGGCTCCTTGGACATGACCCAGAAGTCTTTGATACTCACCTTCTGGTATGACAAGATGTTCCAGGTCATCTTGTAATTTCCTGCTCCAATTGTAGAATCATCCACTTCTCCAAGGAGATCTGGGAAAGATGATTTGTAATGGTTGGATCTTACACATTTATCATTATTTATTGAACCAGTCCACTATTGGGGAGGAAAAGGCTTTAGGTAGTTTTATAAATTGTTTAGCTATTTTATAGAAATACATCATGTATAAGTGACTGATGTTGTACGTATAAATCTTTTTTCTATTATCTAATGTTTAAAGAAAAGCTAGCCGATCAGCCCATTTACAGCCTGGTCTATAAACCAGGGTACATCATTCACCTATTACAGACAACTGCCTGTAGGGTGAAGCTTGCAAACAATTAATTAAAAGGTGGCAGCAAATATAATATAAACCTCTGGTGGTAAGGAGACGATACATGTTTAGTTGCTAATACTTATCAGCCCCTGAGGATATTCTGCTTCTTAGAACTGCAATCCCTCTGGACATTTCCTTGCCAGCCAAGAGGGTAAGATTAGGTTTGGTGGGAGTATGCATTAATGGAAGATTTTTTTTATAAACTATATTGGAGGAGGCTCACTGACAACTATGCAAAAGGTTATAAAAGGAAAGTCACCATCTCCCACCCACCCTAAATTCCCTGTTTGGCTGATTAGAAACATTTGGACTGCCTAAAATGTTAAAGTGAATCAAGCCATCTTCCCAATACATGCAAATGGTATACATTTTGGAGTACTTAAAGTTTTCTTTACTTTTTGAATGTGATGCTACTAATTCCATTTGATACATACAATCTGCCTCTTGCCCAGACAGAATGTTTGAAAGCTATTTTTCTAAAACACCTGGGCTTAGGCAGCAACCCTTTGTTTTAGGAAGAAAGTGAAATCGTAATAGCAGTCTCCAAAAGGAAGACGACAGTGATTATCATAGTTGCTCCCTTTCTTTACTCAGCTCATGTGGTCAGGTTCTGTGGGATAAAGGTGTTATGGTCAAAACTCATTAAACGAAGTCATTTACAATTCCTAGGTATATTAAAAATGAACTATTCTCCTAAGGAACAGTTAACCTTCAGGGTCAACAGACTATTCACCCTTCATATTACAGGGACCTCAAACAGTAAATGCTTGAGCAGAACTCAGAGTTGTCATGAAACTGTAGAGTTTCCATATTCTGATCTCATGACACTTATAGTCTACCATGCCAAAACTGAAAACTGGAATAAATGCCTTCTGGTAGTCAGTTATGTTACCTTTCCTTTTTTGTTCATTTCTGTTCATTATGGCGAGAGTGTTGTAGATGAGTATGATTGCCAGATTAAATACTGGAAACCCAGTTAAATTTGAATTTCCGATACACAAGGAAAAATTTTTGTCCCAAATACTTCATGGAACATATTTATTCTAAAAATTATCTGTTCTTAATCTAAAGTTCAAATTTAATTGGACGTCCTGCATTAAATTTAGCAACCCTTGAATGAATAGAGTCTAATGGTGACTGATCTTTGAAAATTAAAAAGAAGTACATGTTGTACAATGTAGAGCAACACTTCTAAAACTCTGGTGTGCATACAAATCTCTGCTACTTATTAGAAAGCAGATTCCGATTCTGCAGATCTGGAAAAAGACCTGAGATTCTATCTGTCTAACAAGTTTATGCTTGATCTTAATGCCGCTGCTCCATGAACCACTGTCTGTGCATGACTGTAATGGACATACTTTGTTGTTATTTTGTGCTCCAGCATCTGAACTCTCTGAGCTTGGAGAATTCACTGACATGTGAATTTTGGAAGAAAATATAGCCTGATTCCCATGTCTTGATAGAAACTGTTAGAAGTTGACAAATGCTTTACCATCCTCCTTTGCAGCCTGATTCAGGCTCAATGACCTGCCCTCAGCCAATCAGAAGCACCTGCACGATCTTGAGTAACAGAACTAGTAGCACAAAGAAGCAAGGATAGGAACAAGTATAGGCAGTTCTTTTCTTGCAGCAGTGCAGTTGTGGCCAAATTAAGTGCCCAGGGCAGTGGTGGCGGTGGACGAAGGACAGAGTTCAGAGCTCTGAACAGCATCAGTAGTGGCAGTCTTCTCACCAGGCTGTTTCTGGAGCATGATTTGGGGCTTCATTCTTGGCTGCACAGCCCTGAGCTTGGTTCTCAATCCTCGTAATGATTCTGTGAGCTGCCCACTTCCTTTCCTACTAAATCAGTCAGAATTTATTTTTGTTGCTTGAAACTGAGAACCCCGATGAAGCCAAAAGGTTTGCTGGAAGATTGCTGGCTTGCACAGCCTATTGGCTGGCACTACATGTATGGGATGCCACCTAGGACACCACTCAGATGACCTCTGCTTTACAGGGTCTGAAGACTCTGAGAAAGGTGTAACCTCTATTTTACTTGGTGGGAGGGTATCTATTTCCTGGCATGCATCTTTTGTTTGCTCTGGCAATGAGGTTTCCGACAATGACTTGTCTTGCTTGGTTTAATAGAACTGGATTTATATGCTAAGCCCGTCATTAACTAGTTATGTGACTTGGGGCAATTCGCTTAATCTCTGTGACCATTTCCTTGGCTGTTAAAGGGGTTTAAGACTGCATGGTTTTTAAAATTATGTTTGTTCATGTTATAATTATTTCTTGTTTTACAACTTTGTTGGGGATACTTTGCGTATACAATTTCACCAATTTCAAGTGTCTGATTCAAAATTTTTTGGTAAATTTGTCAGTTGTGCAGCCATTACCACAATCGATCTAATTTTTAAAATATTTTCATCACCCCAATAAATCCTTAATGACCGTTTATAGTTAATCCCTATTGCCTCCCCTGTCAGAGGCAACTACCAATCTACTGTCTCTATAGATGTCCCTTTTCTGGATGTATAAATAGAATCATATAAATGGAATCACACATTCATAATTATTTGTTACACTAGTTTTTTTCTACTATATAGTGAGTTTCTGTGGGTAAAATTGCGGTATTTCCAGAATCTCTCTTCTGGCCTTAGTTCATTTCCATATCAATAGGTGTTTCCAAGGGGTGGAGAGAAGTAGTTCTGTACCATATCAATAGGTAATTACATGGGGGGCTGGGGCATGTCTAGACTGAAGAGGTTAGGTGGGGTCCCTTTTTGCAGCTGGGTCACGAGAGACAGGGGTGAGCAGAGGTGGACAACTGCTTGTAAGCAATAAACAGATTTCTCCCACTTTATTTCTCCCTTTGACTGATTTTGGTTTCAAAGGTCTTTTGCCCTGGGCTGGGAAAATATCTCGCCCCCAGTTACTGTTTGCAAAAGGCCAATGTCTAAATGTTTATCTACAATGTATAGCACAGTGCTTTGTACAGAGTAAATAGTCAAAAAAATAAAATTAAAAACACTGATACTTATTAAAGTTGTTGTGAGGATTAAATGAGTTTATTAGATTCTTGCTCCTCATTGTCTGATCCCCAGACCAGCAGCTCAATATCATGGAGGAGCTGGTTAGAAATGTAGTTTGGGGCCCCACGTTAGATTTAGAACCTGCATTTTCATAAGATCCTCAGGTGATTCACAGTCTCATGAAAGTTTGAGAAATACTACTCTAGACTATAAGATCCATGAGAGCAGGGATTTTGTGTGGCACATAATAGGTATTCAATACTATTTGTTGTATGGTTAAATGGACAGTGATACATATGGAAGCATTTTGTAAACTGGTTAAGTCCTATATAAACAGGATTACCAAAGAATAGAAGTATGGATTTTTAGCTTAACTAAAATTTGTTAGAGAAACAGTTTGGTCTGACATTTTATAATGCCAGTTTATATACTGAAGCAAATATATTTATTTTATTTACATTTGAATGACAATTCCTTGAGGCTATGAAACCCAGTTTTAGATTTAAAAAATTTAGTCTCTTAACTGAAATGGAATTTATAGTGAGTTTATTAGCATGACAGTTATAGAACTTATTTCTAAGGATTGACAAAGAAAATTTATTACAGTTCCATTTTCTGTGAGGTAAGAATTTGATCAACAGCTAAGAAGCCAATGTCAGACTTTAAGAGACAGGGTTGGTATATGTTGTATAGTTAGCATCAACCACTAACAAGGAAAACCCATCTAGATTTCCACTTACAGTCTGGCTCAGAATGGTTTAATTTATTAATTTAATCATTTTAAAAATCATCAAACATTTATTAATTTGTCACTATTTGACAAGTGCTGTACCAAGGCTTTCTGATGGATTATCAGGTACAATATTCTTGAGTTCCATATCAATACAATGATGATAGCTTTTTAACTACATAGGCTAGCAAAAGACTTTTTATGATTTATGAATTCATGAATGTTAAACTCTTAAATACTTAAAAATTAAGCCACATTAATTATATATTTAACAAATTTATTGTAAAATGTAAAATTATATTTTTCTGGTAAATCTAGGCTATATGGTTAACACTTACAGGATAGTAATTGTTTTTATGTACGGTTGCTCTAAGGAATATAACAGGTATGTTCTGGGTATTTTCCATTTACTCCTCCAGATCTATTTTTCATTCCATTTGCCTTGCACTATACTGGAGGCCAATCTCTACAGAAGTACCCTCCAAGCCTTCTAGCATCTGGTTGGGTTTGGCTAATGGGAAGCACCAACAGAAGTTTGCAGAATAGGAGAAAAAGAGGACAAGTGTTTATTCCCCAATTCTCTGCTGGGCCACATTTGGCAGTGACTGCATATTTCTATTTATAGACACAGCCTACGTCAGGTGTCTTCTTCCAAACTACAGCTCTTTTTTGGGTTCCATTAAAAGCGTTTATCCCCTGTTCCTTCAGGCTTAAGGCTCTCCATTGTTACCAGGCCTTAAGTGCTTTAACACTGCTAGGTGATTCCCTTAACCCTTCCCACACCTCTGTTAATTGTCCTTTCATTAACCTCTTTTTACCCTCTTAAGTGTGATCTTCAATGGTACAAGAAGAGGTAATCAATCAGCTAGTATCTTAGGACTATCTGATGGGCTGGCACTGTGAAGACGTATAATACATGATCCCGCTCTGGAGATATTTACAGTCCAGTGAAGGAGATAAACCAACACTCGT